TTTATATGATGTGTTGTTGGTTTAGGGCTCTGCTGCTCTGACGAGTCACATGCACTGCTGAACACGCTGGTAATGTTTATTGATTTGTAATGAAGACAGTTATGAACGGAAACTGTAAAATTATTAAACTTTAAAGAAGATAACAGCTACAGCTGTTTGATTTCCCAGCTCTACCACACAGTTCATGGACCAGATCTATTCTCTGCTTACAAACACAGGGACCAGCGTGGGTCTGCATGCAGAGACTGCTGTGTTTTTTACAAACACCAACTTCTTCTTTGTCTTAAATAAACTATTTTTGTCTTTGTGTTTCTGTTGCTTCTCTGTGAAACAACACGACCCTGGTCACATCCTTCAACACGTGTTTGCAATGCACGCCCTTCATGTACGACTGTATGCATGTTCATGCTGCTCTGTCTCCTCAGTTTGCTTCAGAATCAGTGAACCTGGAAAATAAGAATTTTTATTCATATTTTATTCTTATATGGAACACAATATGTGTCATTATGAAGTCCTTAAATGTGGAATAGTGTGCAGTGGGTCTGCCACCCTGTGTAGCTTCACACACTCCTGACAAACTGATGTTGCAGAAACATTACACACAGCAGCTTAAGAATAAAAAGGAAACACGACAGACAGCAGCTGTGAATTTGATCATAATTGATTGTTTTTGTGCTTTTGTATCGTTATCGTTCTTATTTACACATTTAAATACAACAGCAACAAAGTGCTGTACAGAAATACAAAATAGTATCAAACAGCTCGTACTGTGTGAAAAGTCAGTGAATACAAATGTGTTTTTAGATGAGATTTGAAAAGACTGACAGTAGGAGCCTGTCCGATGTGTAGGGGTACATTTAGGGGCTACGAACCCTCGATGGCCTCTGTGAACCAGCCTCGATCCTGGTGCGGCTAAAAGCAAGAAATCATTTGATCTGAGAGATCTAGAGGGCGCATGAGGCTGCAAGAGGTCAAATACCCAGGAGCGTGTCCATTCAGCGCTTTGTAAGTCGACAATAGTATTTTAAAATCAATTCTGAAGTGAACGGCAAGCATCGGGGAAATATGTTCACGTCTTTTAGTTCGTGTCAGAAGACGAGCTGCAGCATTTTCGACAGAAAGAAAGCTTAAAATAGTCCTGAACTTCGAGAGGACAGAGGAACCAATATTAGGTTTTTTAAGTAGAGGCTGTGCGACACCTGAACTGAGACTGCTGTTAAAAATCTTTAAGATGTCGGAGCCGACAACCTTAA